ACCATCTGGAAAGCATCTGATTGGCAATGGCTTTATTTTTCAGGACAACGGTGATTCCAAAACACACTGCCCATGCTGTGAAAACACACCTGGATAGAAATACACACAATGGAACACCATCAGTCATGGATTGGCCTCCCTAGACACCTTCGGTAACATTACTGAAGCTTAATAAGAGGAAGCCACGATCCAAAGAAGAGATTTAGATGTTGGCTTTGGTATCACAGTAACTACGACCATTGGTGGCGCAGTTTAAAACTCCTGCTCAGGACTGAAATTCTTCTCCACACATATACCGGATTTACAGTAGCTGATACAGCATGCTACACACTTACTGTTTCCAATTTTATTGCTTTGATATCAGCCTCATTATTTACTCTTTCTTGTAATACCTTATCAGTGCTGCAATAAGATAGTGAACACTTGACATTTCGTACTGCTACTGCTTTGCATTAAAAACATTCATTTAGTGAAATATAGAAACAGGAAATCCAATGTATTAGTCACTGACTTTTACAGTGATTGAAACCATCTTTTCATTCTTTACAGCTTATGTTGTAATTCTGTTTGCTATAGGATACTGAACTTTGTGCTGCCAGTACACACTGGTATCAGACAACTACAAATCCATTCATCCATCCATTTTTTACTTTTCTGGTCTGTGTGTAACTAGGCGGATAAATAAAAGCTTAATTCAAATACAAAACTATCCAGACTTACAGCTGTCAGTACTATACAGTATTATACACTCGCTGGAGACTTTATTGGATATACCTTGCTAGTATATCCTGGTACTGTTGGAACTCTGTGGCAGTGATTCAGCAAGGACAAGGTGTTGGAAACATTCCTCAGAGGTTTTGGTCCATGGATTTGTCAACTGCACATCTAGCTGCAAATCTCCCGTTCTACCACATCCCAAATGAACTCTACTAGATTGATATGTGGTGACTGTGGAGGCCATTTGAGTATAATGATCCCACTGTCATGTTCAAGAAACCAGTTGGAGATTATTTGAGCTTTGTGGCATGGTGCATTATCCTGGAAACAGCCATCAGAAGATGGGTGCACCGCGGTCATAAAGGGTCAGTAACAATACTTAGGTAGGGTGTGGCATTAAAGCAATGTTTAGTTGGTACTAAGTGTGCCAGGATGATGAAACTCACACCATTACCCCACCAGCAGCAGCCCGAACCATCGATAGAAAGCAAGATGGATCCATGCTTACATGTTCTTTATGATAAAGCAGAAATCGACTCTTGAGACCAGGAAATGTATTTCCAATTTTGTTGACCTTGCGCAAACTGCAAACTAGCCTGAATTTCCTGTTCATACGTGACAGGAGAGGCATTTGGCGTGGTCTTCTGCTGCTTTGGGGATTGCGATGTTGTATGTTTGAGGATTCTCTTCTGCATAGCTCGGTTATAGTTATTTTTAACTCAAGTTATTTGAGTTACTGTTGTCTACCTATCAGTTTGAGGCTGTTCTCCACTGCCCTACATCATAAACAAGACATTTTCTCCCAGATAACTGCTGCTCTGGGTATTTCATCTTGATCAGACCATTCTCTGTAAACTGTAAATAAGAGCAGATGAACAGGTGTACCCAACAAAGTGTTCAGTGAGTGTATATTTTGTAATTTTATTGTGAGAAAAAAAACCTTGAACTCAGTTGTAACACTCTCATAAAAGTACACGGCTTAAACTTTATCCCACATGGTACAGACAATGGGTGCAGCTTCAGGGCTATTTAGGCTGCTACAAAGGGAGAATAAAGTTCACAGAGTTGGCAGGTAACTGTAGCACAACACCTACTGCGTGTTATCTTTTTGGCTGCGAGAACCACTGTTTAAGAGTCATTACTGTGTCATTACTTCATAAACATTAGTTTTATACCATCTCTGCTTGACTGCATATATGTGGACATCAAAAGGGGAGGAGGGAGGACATGTGTGATTTTACAAGACAGATCCACAAACCAGATTCGTAGTAACTTCCTTTTTACACTTTCGGTGTCATTAATTTTCGCCCACTGAATAAAATAAAACCTGGATGATTTTGTATTTTTCAATAGTTTCAAGCACTAATACAATCTAAGAGGATTATAAAGGTTATGAAGCTCATGTTAGGTCATTATAAGGAAAGCAGCCAGTGAATTCTTAAGAATGCTTTGCTTAATTCATGCCTTAATGGAAGTGTTCTTTATGTTGTACAAAACATTTAGAAAAAGGGACCTCTAACAATCAAAATTAAATAACATAGGGTTACTACTGCAGTATGTAGGCTCACAAACATATTTCAACCTTATTATTTCCATAAAACATCTTATTTATAGAATGCACTCAGCTCCAGAGAAACATGCTGGTTCACAAACATTTCACTCTTAACTGGACTCAGGATCGGAATCAGTGTTGCAACAACTGGAGCACAGAAATATTGACCTGGTTAATTGGTGCTGACACACTGCAAGAAGCATGGGACTGACACACTGGATCCAGAGGAAACCATAACAGCAGCTCTCATATTAAAGCGTAGATAAGACAGGCTGCATGGCAGCAGACTAAACATAAACAATCTGCAGGTATACTTTCAGAACTGAGGAATCTTTCCACTGCGGCAGCACAGCAAACTTGGTAACAGCTCATGTTCAGCTGGACTGATTTTCAGCAAAAGATTCAACACAGATGGAGAGAATACAACCACAACGATGTGCACACTGCTATAGCTAATACCTGTTTCACCACTAGTATGTACGAGCACACAGATTCTCATGTACTGTACAGTGTTGCCCATATACGCAATAGTAGCAGCAAAAACAAAAGCTGCACCATAGATAATCAGTCTTAAGTCCTCATCTAAACTACACCCGTTCTGTCCAATGCCTGCTGGCCCTGGGGATTGTGCTGGACTTTTAATCCACTTAAAAGCAGAGGACCTCTGCTGCTGTTTCCAAGGGGCTTGACCCACGATGAATGCGCACGCACACATGCACAAAAACAATCAGCAGCACAAGAATGCAGCCACTCCTCATAAACACACGCATGCATGTATAGTGTTAGGCACTGAGGTGATTTCACAAATGGAAACAAGCAGTCTACACGTTAACCTATACTCAGATTCAAGGGTCCTGCTGAGATGTTTTAATCAAGAAATTCACAAAAACTACAGCCAAGTTGGGTCAAATCTCTGAATACTCTGCCTCTATAAGAGGGGCCAGAAGGAAAACTCTAATTTAAACCTACAGTCTATATAGAAGGCTCAACTTGAGTGGATTTATTGAAGAGGGGTCAGCAGTCATTCCAGCACCGTTCAACTCCACTTTGTTAGAGACTTCTCAACCTTTAATATTACAAGAATTTTTAATGGAATTTGCTTTCTTTTGTTCTTCTACACTAACACAAATGTAAAATAAACAATATGTACACATGCACACACATCCATACAACACTGTTCATATTAATGTGGTGAAAACCAACTGTTTTTAAAATAATAATAATAATAGCAATAATTTCTTTAGAAATAAAAAATATTCGTGTTTTTGCTCGGGTTTAAATGGTTTCTTCTGTGCAGCCGACACATTGTCATACTTTTTTCTCTTCTTGCACCAACGTTTGTCGTTATCTAATTTGAAATGTACTAATTCCTTATTCTTGCGGAGGGAGGCTGAGCCACTGACTTGAACAGCTGCTTCATGACCCAAAAAACTGTCAGTCTTTCCCTGGAATAAATTGTGGAATATACCATCTTTGGGTACAGGGGGGAACTGGAAAGGTCCGTTTTCAGGATAGCAGATGTCGCGAGCACGTTCGTACGTTTTGACCTGGGTAAAAATGACTACCTCTACATTATAAAGTCTAAATCTTTCAAACTGAACTGTTTAAAGTGTCATAAAAGGTAAACGCAAAGACTTGCTCGGAGCCAAGCTCCCCTGTGTTTCGGCGCTGAGTTTCTAGAGGACCCATAGTAGAATCAATTCAGCGAGAGGGGAGCTTGAAACCGTCCACTCATGCTTTCCTCCGAGTCTGAGAGAAACACAGTTGAAGGGAACACACAGACCAGTCGGCCGCACTACATGCTCACAACAGGCAGGCTCCCATCACTAACGAAAAACAACAGCAGCAGTCCCCCTGCATATAATTATTATAACACTTTACTGAACACTATGCATATATATCCAGAGAAACCCGTTGATGAGATTTTTTAAAGTTATTCTAGATGTCTTTTGAAAAGCATATGGGCTCAACTTTGGTTTGGAAACCACCTAATTAATCCTGTTAAAATAAATCTTAAAATAAATTCATGTGATTATCAGAAAATACTCATACACAATGGTGTTTCCCCACTTTTAATGGTTTGATCATGTGGTATTTTACCTGCAGATGTCACGAATGCAGTGGATTCTTTCATCTTCATCAGGTGATACTCAATATCCAGGTGGTGAAGCTATAGTAGCTGTGGGGTCATGTGCACCCATATCAAGCCAGCGCAAAATAACACGCAGCATGGTAAATGTGGAAGAATAATCTCAGCTGGTGCTACTCAAAGACCTGTTTGCTTTGTGGTCTTAAAACAAGAGTGTGCAACTGCTCAAAAAGCAGTGTGTTATTGGCTCAGCACATATGTATATATGCTCAGCTTCCCACTCATTTTGTTCACAAGCAGTCCGAACATCTTTGCCAGTCAGTCTGTTGTTGTTCTTCACTGATCAGCCCCACTGCATCAGCAGGACGTGCCTTGCTTAAGGGCATCTGCTTCGCGGAGAAGAAGGCAAGGCTGTTCATGCAGACAATGCAGAGGATGTCTGGTGGTCTCATTGTTAAATTTACACTTAATCCAGGTCTGCAGCAGCTCAGGTTGGGGGAAAAAAGCCCAACAGCAACAACAACAGAACACCTCCTGGAGGTGGGGTTGGGTGCGGTGCCCCCCCCAAAAAAATAAGGAAAACTACAACACATCCATAAAAAAGTCCTCTCATGAAGACAGAAAAGGTAAAAAAAAAATGTAGCGAACTAGATGATTTCATGTTTCAGAGCTGAAAATCTGCAGCATTTGGGGTCAGATTAGAGAAAGCAGCGTGACCTTTTAACCACCACCATGCTGAAAACACCTGCTGCACGCATCTGGGCCATCAGCTGATGTAAACCGAATGGTTTTTAACATCACAACTTTCATTATGAGTGTTTCAACGTGAATCTTTCTCGCACGACTAATATGCGTGCAGTGTTTGCATGCACGAGGACAGCACTCACATGCACTTGTAGTCCTCATTTGAATGTGTTTGCGCGTGCCTCATTAAGAGGTGCGCTTCCACGCAACCAGCCCGCTCACCAATGTCACCTTCATGGATGGCTCCATCGTAGGAGCATCCTTCAGAATGTAACAGATTAGCTTTGCAGGCAGGGATGTTGATTAGGTCATCACTTCCCAAGGTCACACCTACACACATCTAGCAGCAGGCCCGCTGCCGTTAAAGCCCCCCACCTCTTCAGATCCTATAGAGCCTTGATTCTACCTCCTGCCTGCGTGCGGATCTGAATAAGGCCGAATAAGCCATATCCAACAGGATAAGCCTTATTGTAATACTCAGTGATGGAACAGGCTGCTTCGGCCCCTTCAGGCTTCCTTCACCCTGAACAGACTTAAAAAAAAGAAACAGCTCCGTGTTACATTACTTGAAGCATTTCTAAGCTCCTGTAGACTCTTTAATCTAACACGGACCTTCAGCATGCTGCGCAGTTGCCAGCTATGTTATGCAGTGACTGATGATCAGTTCAGGTGTTCTTCACAATGAATCTGCATTCTCAACACAACACTAAATTCCTTAACTCTGGACCTTTATTTTAAAGGGCTTGGGACCTATGTTTTTATGGCCAAAGTAGATTTTGTTGGCATAATAAAGACACCCCTCACCAGCTCTTTCTGGGTATGGGTGCTAGTGGTGGGGAAAGACAAAATAATAATTGAGCAAAACAGTTTTTACAGTTCTTATCACTTTGCAGCTGCCTTTTTCAGTGAGCACATCACCCATGTTTTATCAGACTGAGATTCCCTCCCCTAGCAGTTCCTCTTGGGGTTGTGCAACTGTTTGGCGTTAGTGCAGCGAGCGCGCAAAAGACGGACTTGTATCTGTGTGCGTACTAATTTTCCTCCACTAACTCTCTATGGGAGACAAATCTCCCTGCTGTACAGTGCTACATCTCTTTCTTTATTCCCCCTCCCCTCATGAGACAATGAACACATTGAGGCAAATCTGTTTCCACAGCCTGTGAATGAGAGACAGCCAGCTTTGTTTTGCATGAGTATCCACACACACACACGCATATGTGAGTGTGTGACAGATAAAGCAAAAGAATTGCGCTTGTGGTGTGGACACACACGGGTGTATCCAATGTGTATGAGGCTCCTACGTCATGCGTTCGCCATGTGACTCACTTGGTGTGGCGCAGGGGTTTAAGTAGTGAGTAAGAGCCATTCTTCTCCCTCATATGTCTCCGCTCGCACTGAGGCCCGGACGCGCAACACTTTCCCTCCGCCCCTACTCCATCTCTGTTCATTACCCAACAGGTTGCTCTGTCAATAATGAACGCGTGCGAGTTTGACATCTGAGGTCCATTCAAAGGGAGACAAACATGAGAACAATAATCACCTGTCCATTTGTTATTTCAGGAAATCAACAGAATACACATGTGAACATTTTATTTCTTCCCTTTGTTGGTTTTTCATAAATCTCATGAGAAAACATGATTATTGTTTTGGAATAACAGCTCTGTCTGGGATAGTCTTTTTTTTTGGTAACCTGCTGGGATAATTGCAGGTGAGCCATGGAGGAGATAGAGCACAGTAGTGCAGAGATAGGTAAACACGCAAGTGACGTCTGTGGTCGATGACTAATGCTGTATAGACTCCAGCGCCTTGTCTTGTGAAATGCTGGGATAAAGGCTTTGTGAGGTTAGCTCTAACTATTGTGAGCCATAAAACATGGACACATACTCTTTATCAAAGTGGGATATTATTCCTCGTAGTGCTCGCATACCTTAGTCCTGGGCGGGTGGCTGTATGTCGATTTAGAGCCAAAAAGCCTTTGTCATATCTAAACTGTCAGTGTCACAGGAGTTCGTTTGCACGTCCATCCAGAGAAGACATTTTTGTTGCGGTGCACAGTTTTTATTGGACCTATTCCACCATCTAGTGGTGGTGCATCTGCTGTTACCTACCGCAGCTGCACGAGTCCCCGATGAGAACACAAGAAGTGAAACAAATTGGCAAATGAGGAAATGCAAATGATTAATATTTTTGCCATTTACACATTTGATTTATTTATTTTCAGAAACAGAGTGTACTAATTGCAAAAAAAAATTTTTAAAAACAAAAAGGCAGCTTTGGGTGAAACAAAATGAAGAAGTCAAATGTAGAGAGGAACTAGAAATAAGTTCGCCTTCTAAACAAAACACTGAGGAGTTAAAAAGAAGTTAAGAACAATATTTAATTAAATAGTAATTCATTCAGTAGCACCTTGTTGATTGCAAGGCCGCGATCATATACTGACTGCATCACTTGATCCCCAGCAGATGTAGAAATATATTCCTTCCTCTTCAAAGTCCCCATATAGTCAATATCTGCAGTGTTCCACAGTGCAACCGAGATCAGTTCGGGTGGGGGGATAGCCGTTTTTATTTGGAAATATTGTCATTTAATGCACAGCCCCCTGTTGAAAAGCAGCACCACTTGGAAGTGTATTCAGCACTTGAGACTTCAACAGATTCCATCCTCATCCCATGGCGTCTCCCTCTTCTTCATCTTCCTCAGGCAGGCTCCCGGGACAGGGCTCCATGGTAACAGCGACGCCCATGCCGCTGCGTCCAACGGGCATGTCTGTGACACATGTCCATTCATTTCTATCGGGACAGTAGCATTCAACGCTGGACAGAAAGCCGTGTTGGTTAAAACCTCCTAAGTGGGACACACACACACACACACACACACACACACACACACACACACACACACACACACACACACACACACACACACACACACACAGAGTGATTAGCAAACATTTGCATCAATAAATAATTATTAATTATTCTGTCTTTAGGGGGTTTATTTGCGATTTCAGAACTAATTTACAAAACAGATTTTTAAAGAAAACTTTTCCTTTTTAAAAAAAAAAGAAAAAAAAAAAGATTGCAGTTATGAGTTCCTCCCAATGTGATATTTAATTCGCCAGCTGCATATCAGTTTACTATAAGCATCGGAACCACGCTTAACTTCATTTTATTAAATAACACTGAGTCAATGAGCCAGATTGGGAAGAAAACAGAGTGCAGCTCACTCTAGGGTAACAGAGCAGCACCTACTGATCTGCCTACCGGTCAATGAGAGGGATTTAATTACTTAAGTAGTCAGTATTTAGAAGTGTGTGTTGCAACACTCAGTAGAAATCGTGGAAGCGTTTATTACAGATATATTATCCTGTAAACATTAATGACACTGATAAGAGCAACATTTTTCACTCATCGCTTCAGATTCATGAAGTTGTATAATGTGCTTAATACCAAGCATTAGAAACCCGACTGACCGAAGACGAAGATGCGTCCCTGGTGGACAGTGACTCCATGTGCGCTGCGAGAGTACTGCATCGAGGCCCTCGGCTCCCACGTATTCCTGGCTATGTTGTAGCGTTCCATAGTGGCCAGCTGGCTCTGCCCATCATAGCCTCCTATAGCATACAGGTAAGAGTTCACACACACCAAACCTGCAAGCACAAACAACACAAAAAATGAAATTTGCAACATAAACATGCCAGAGTTTCTTGGAGAACATCAGACGAGAAGACTGAAACAACTCTCATGATTACAGTCATCTTAACAGAAATCTGAATTATTTTAATCTGTACAAAGGCAGACGTGTAAAAAAAAAAGAAAAAAAAGCAGGTTGCAGTTTTACATTGGGCTGTTTGTTAGGCAAGAGCAGTGGAAAAATAACATGTTACTTAGTGACTTTTTGAGGTGCTGATATGTCAGATTTTATTATCTTGGGAGAGCACAAAGTTAGTGCTGTCCCTCTGTTTCCTGTTTTATACTAAGCTGCCTGAAACCTTATTTTGGGCAAAGGTCAGAAAAAGTAAAGACTATGTGAGAGTACTAAAGATAAGCGTGAAAATGGTAAACACTAAATGTGTCTAAACCTGCTTCTCATAAGAGCCAGAAATGCCCACAAACTCACCTAGTCCGCTGCGTATAGTATTCATGGGAGCCAGCTGTTGCCAGGTGTTAGTGTCAGGCTGATATTTCTCAGCTGTGTTCCAGCGGTTCTGTCCATCATAGCCCCCGACTACATACAGGGCCCCCCCGCACACCGCCACGCCGGCTCCCAGGCGAGCAACCGACATTGGACAAACAAAGGTCCAGCGATTAGACTCGGGATCCCACCTGCAAACCAAACAGCATTTGTGCAGAGCACTTAGTGCAATGATAATCTGTTGACAACTCCTAATGATATTACATATTAGTCAATTGACATAATTAAATTAATGTATCAGCGCTGCAAACTTTAAACCGATTCGGTGCGAAGCGGCTGCACGCGGCAACTCTCTCGGTCTACACGAGCAGTCAACTTTAAGTGGATTAGGTTAAGCTGGCAACCATGTTTGGCAACTATGAAGAAGCTGTACTTGAAGCCAAAGCTATCGCAACACCAGTGAGCGTACAGAGAGACAAGAAAGTCCAGTCGTGTCCTTGGAGAAAACCGGCTGAATTAATATAAAAACAGCTTGGGATAAAGAGTGGCAGCAGGAGGAAACAGCTGCTCAATCCAAGGATGGGGGGAAAAAAAGAAAGCAAAAACCCTGCCTACCAGCACCTCTAAAGTAATTTACCAACAAGATGCAAGAGCTATATCAATCTTCATGTCTAGCTCTCAGCAGAAATAATATATTTATTTAGATCTATATATTTCTTGCATAACAACCCACAGGACTCTTTGCATAGGCAAATAATGGAAGGCATGACAACAAGAAACAATCAACATGAGCAGACGGGACTTCTTGTACTCTGACTGGTTAATGATTAAAAGCGTGTTGGCACAGTTGCTGGCACTGGTCGCTGAAAACTGCTGATAGGAGTGTGGCTTATATTGCATCACCTGTCCTTTAATGTTCGGAACGCGCCTTGGAAAAAAGCAGCACTAAATTCAAGTCGCTCTTCCCTCTGACATTGTGACATTGGCCCTGCACTATGATCACTAAAATTTCTGCATCTACAGCGAGGTGCGCAACAGCGGCAAATTAGGAGCAAGGACGTACGACTCCCCGCCGAGTCTCCGGCATGTTGCTTGCATTCGTTTGGGAAGCATCCTCGGGAGAAGAGCCGTTGCTGCCAACACCGATTACTATAAATGCTCTCGTCTCCTTTGATGTGTTACACTTTCAGTTTTCATCTCAATACTTTTATCAGCTTTCATTATATTTAGCAGCTTCTCAGAAGAAGATTTCCAACTGGTTTCTGATGAGCTCTAATAATTCTCTGCTGACTAGCATCTTTAAGACAGTTTTACATTTCAATCTATTAAAAAAGTGTTTAAGGTCACACTTGAAGTAGAAAGCTAATAATATCAATAGAAAGTGCCATTCTTGAGACTTTCTGTTAGTAATCTAACCTACATGAAAGCATTATATCTCCTTCTCGCGGCAACGAGAGGTAAAGTATACGCAACCAGATCTACATTCCTAAGAAGTTTGTCTGTACATGTTTTGAACGACCTCATGTTTTTGATGTTATGATGTCTAATTAGGCTAAGAGGAATACCAGCAAATTCTTGACTGCTCTTTAGCTTGAATAGCAGCCATTCATTTAATCTCTCTGGTGGCAGTCCCCATACGTGCACCGAGGTAACTGCGCTTCTAAAAATCTGCATCTTAAAAAGAAAATCTGTGCTTCCACATTCAGCTTATTAAACACAACTTTAATGAAGTCAAATTACTTCTCGAGTGTCGAGTTAAAGACATAAATCGTCAAATAACAGCACAGAGATGTCTCACTTTTCCACCGTGTTGTGGTGTATCGAGCCCTGGGAGCCTCCGACAGCATAGACGCAGCCATCCACCACGCCCACCCCGACCCGGTTCCTGGGGATGTTGAGGGAGGCTCGCTGGCTCCACTGGTTGGTCATGGGGTTGTAGCAGCTCAGGGCGTTGGACTCTGTGTTGGTTTGAAGCGACAGGTTTCTGCCTCCAACCTGCGTTTAAGAACACTTTAAAAGTTTATGTTGAGAAAAGTGAAAAGAAAAACAACCCAGAAATCGCACTCACTGGCCACTTCATTAAGAACACTTTTTTGATGCTTGATATGAATTTCATTAGGTGGTTTTGACCATGTTTATCTCCATAACTGCATTGAGCTGCTGACATGTGATTGGCTCATTACATATTTTAATTTACGTGGACTTGAGCAGGTGTACTGAATAAAGAGTCCAGCAAGAGTAACTCTGAGTTTACTGCATTGTATCTGATCTCTGCGTGTTGTTCACAAATTAAAGCTCATTTCATTGACCGTATGATAACTGATGCAACATACAGTGTAGAGCAGTCCAAACAGTGTGCAGGCTCCCAGACCACTGCATGGCGTCCCCATGTCAGCCAGTTTTATCCAAATATTCCTCCTTGGATCGTAGGCCTCCATGGATGCCAGAGAATGCTGCCGGTATCTGAACAGACAAAAGAAAGTAGTGACTGGCTAGTTACTAAGATGAATGTCCAGAGTAAATAAACAGCTTTTCATGAGAGCTTGTGACATAACTTTGAATCCTTTGTTTGTTATTTGTATAAAGGTTAAAAAGGATATAAAGGATCTTGTCATATAGAGGCACAAATGCCAAAGACATAATATGGTGATTCATGAATGCATGCAAAGCTGGTCTCAAAATTTAGTCTTAATCAGTAGGAAATGTGAAAATAATACTCCAGTCATTATCTGCTCTTCCTTATGTCAATACGCACTGATTGCTATGATTGTGTCTGTGTTTCCACAACAGCATCATCCCATAAAACAGGTCTATGAAAACAGAACAACATGATCATTAAAAAAAAGTCAATACAGCTCAATCATCAGTTAGAAGTTTACGCAGACAGGATGATTTCTCTTATGATAACACCAAGTCGAAAAACAGATTTTTCTATGATGGATAGGAGCCCAAAAAGCAGGGCTACTCTGCAAGGAAGACAGACTGTGTAACCTGCTCAACAGTCACCAGATGGCAGACTGAGCAACTTTCTGAATTCTTGATAAAACACAGTCTGAGCTCATTACCACGATAGTGTATTGTCTGATAATAATGATTAATATATGACAATCAGAACCTCAAAATATTTGCTGCAGCCAGTCACACATGTTTGCTGAGCATACACAGTGTTTGATAACTACCCGCCGGCCACGTAGATAAACTGAGTTCCCCGATTAGGAGCAGGAGGAAGCTTCCTCAGGGTCATATCCTGGAAGATTTTGGACAGGAAGTCCTTACAGGAATTAGCCTAAAATTAAGATAGGACACAAAATTTAAAAAAAATATATGGGAAAAAAAATGGGTCATATGGCTTTTTTTTTTTTTGGTTTTTTTTTACACTTTGATACCAAAATAGCATACTAGCTTTTATAAGTGCAGCTGTGGTTTACCTTGCTGAGGATGGGACAGGACAGCAGCTGGTTCTTCAGGAACTTAGGCGGCAACGCATAGATGTGAACTGCATTCAAGAGGGCATGCAAATAGGGGGCTCTGCTCTCCATATCCCAGCGTACCCAGTCTGTGCAGGCTTTATACACCTGATGTGGATTTTATTCAAATATATTAATGCACAATTTGTTATTTATGTCTAATAGAGAATCTAACAGGAGATTCATTTAAGTATATTTTTGAATGAATACCATTTGTGAATGAAATGCCTGTTGTATGGCTCTCAATCAGATTTCAGATTTTTATTTTAGGGTCACACACCTCAGACTCACAGAGCACCTTGAGACTGTCCTGACTGATGAGCTCCAGCAGCTGGCAGTGAGTAAGACTGAAGAATTCCTCTTCTTTGGTCACCTTCAAGACAGACGCAGCATTTGGATTTTATTCAGTTTACTTTTCAACTTTAAGAATTACTTCCATTGATGTGAGTCGACAGGTATGAGGCAGCGGGAGAAACTAAAAAGCTAGATTCCATCATTTCATGAAAAAGGCAACAGGAGAAGTCAGAATAAGTATTGGCAAAAAGAACATAAAAGGCTTGGCAGTGACAGGGGGGCTCGATTTGTTCTCGACTCAGACAGATATGTGGAGCTCGGTTTTGGGTAAGCATTAAACTGACACTGAGTCAAAGTTCTTCGGTTATGTAAAGCGCTCAGAAACAAAACAGAACACGAGCCAGTGAGGTGGGTCTCTAAACTGTGCATAATTATGTGGGGACAAGTAAAACACAGTGATGATTCTGTGGGATAAGACTGCCCCATGTCTGCCTGTCCACATATATCCACCTATCACCATAGTTATCTCTCAGTTCTTGTGCTTTGCCTTAACAAAATCATCCCCACTGAGTTGGCTGAACTACCTACAGCTAGTTAGTCTTCAGAACAGGTTACTGCCAGATTGGACTTGTTCGCATGCTCTCCACCCTTGGGTGGAGTTTGGCCTGCTATGCCAGTGCTCACAGATAGGAAAGGTGCTGTTTCACAAGGTTTTGTTCAGATGTCTCTGAGAGAAAATAGATGTTAAGAGAGGCATTTTAATGCACCCAAGTATGGCTGTTGCACCCGGCTCAGATATAGGCTCAGCTGATAAGTACAGAAGTGGATCTATTTGCCTAGGTGCAAATAGGCCCTCTGCTCCTATCCATTCCCAGACACGCATTTTGGTGATGTTGCTAGATCAGATGACGTTCCCCTAGTCTAATTTTTAAAAACAAAGGTTCTGTCCCCAACAACGGTGGCAACAATCAGGTTCTAATCTTCAAAGTTCACTTCCACTGATACCATATAAACCGCCACATGGGTGCAGTTGTGTATAAGAGTAACCTGAGACAACCACGAGTACTGCACTTCAGCATTTTTAATGCTCAACTTCTTTTTAGCTACGCGAGAATAATTTGAGATAAAAGACACCGTTTCTCATAATAATAACTGCACGTAAAGCTGTTGCATGTGCTGTTACCTCACTGAAGTGTGTATTGATGTACTCCCGACTCTGTTGATGCAGTTCTGTGCAACCGATCTCCTCAGCGAAGCGGGAGATACCAATGACGTTAGCTGGCTCTAGGTGTTTAATCAGATAATCGCAGCATGCCTTTGCCACATCCTCAATCTGATACCTTGCAGGATGTAAAAGAAGCAGAGGAGCATTATAGTCTTCACCTCAAAATATGACTTAACACAGTGGTCTGGGTCTAAAATATGTTTACCTCATAGCAGCCAAAAGCACATGCAATACACACTTTTCTCCCACTGTTATGTGAGAGGTGTAGGCAAAGTCAATAAGTCTCCCGACCACCTCAGGGCAGACATCACGCAGGGTGACCTCCGAAGCGTGACACTCCTTGAAGCTGCTGGTAAACATGGCTCTGAAGTAGAAGCTACAGGAGGCCAGCACAACTTTGTGAACCTGAAAAAAAACAAAAAACAAAGGTTGTGATGATAATGAAACACTGGAAATGTGCTCAACAACTGAATGACAAGCGATCCAAGAAAAATTATGAGCTCATTTTGAATTAGACGGCAGCAACAAAAAGGAAGTTGGAACTGGGAGAACAAAAGGCTGAAAATGAAACGTAGTTAGAGTAATGACAATTGTTCTAATGTGTGGATTTTGTGTGTGTGAGTGCGATTCAGCTTCGACCTTGGCAGATTAGTGTCTCCAGTGACTGAGCTAATGATAAATCCCACTGAATTAAAATAGCATAAACTGCATGAGACATGAAGGAAAGTATATTCATACGTGACTGAATAGTCATTCGTGATGGAGCTAACGATAGGTCACGTTGAAGTACAACATAGAAAAGAAGAAACCATTGTGATGGAGTGGTTTTGATGTTTGAATTTGGCTTTAAATCTTGTATGTGAAATGTCCCAGAGAGAGTGAGAAGCAATAGGGTGTGACTTAAAATAAGGAGATTGTGGACACCAAAAAGAGCAAAAGAGGATAAAAGAGGGCTCCTAGGAACAGTCAAAGCTGTTCTTGCTCTAGTTTCTTTGTGATAGGCAGTAAACATCTGGCCCTGGGAGTCCACAATTAGAAATTACAGCAAGAAATGCCAGAGGAGCAACCACTGCCCGAACACTCTGGACTCATGAATAGGTTTTTATATTTCTTGGCTTTTCCTCTTCTCATTTTTTCCGTGTTATATTATAAAGTCAAACATGCAATTAATTAACATTGTTAATTAAATCACTTAAGTAATTATTATTAAGTATAATTTATTTAATTTGGCTTTTACTTTGCTACTGCTAAATTGCGTAAATTAAATATCCTGCATTCAAAAAGTCTAAATTGTGGACATTTCCTTTTTAATCCCTTGTGAAAAAGTAAAGGTTAAAACCTGTGTATTATTATAAGATCGCTCAAGGGGTTCTTACAAGTTACTCTAGCCTTAAAAATTAACAGATCCTCTGGGCCTACTTTTCCAGACCACTAAATGTTAACTAACTGGGCTAAGAAGTGCATGGATTTAGAGGAGAGCTGCTGATAACAGGTATGGCTGAAGGTAGAGGGCTTAACCAGAGGGCCACCCTGGCAAGGATGCTTTCAAAGGAAGTAAGAACGACATTTGGAGGACTGAGAAGCAGGTAGAGCTGGGCATGTCTCCTCCCCTGCCTACTGGGTAATACTCATAGGAACAGAGACTCACAATTTTTAAACAGAGAGGTGGTACCACACCTTCTTGTATTGGGGGTGGGGGGTTGGATAGTGCAAATGCACTATATGTGAACATGATCCACAGACATCCCGTTTGACCAAAGCTCATTTTAATGGATCTCTGATGATATCAGGGTGCATTAGTGCCTGTGAAATAGCCAGATCAAACATCTGGCAAGGCACCATCAATGCTGGAAGATGTATAGAGGTTACATATGCTCCCATTCTGATGACGTCTTTTTTAGGAAGGGCTTGCATATTTCAGCGAGACAACGCGAAACTGCATATGGAATCTATTCCAACTGCATGGCTTCATAGTAGAAGAGTCTGGGTGCTACACTGGTTTGCCTGCACTGAAAACATGAAATGAGATAATATGACAAAGACGACCCAAGACTGACGAGCAGGTGAAATCTATATCAGACAAGAATGGAACAAGGTATCTCCCAAAGGTTCAGCAGCTGATCTCCTCAGCTCACAGAGGCTTAATGAGTGTTGTTAAAAGAAGAGGTGATGCTACACTGTGGTAAACATGGCCCTGTCCTTTTTTTGAGACATGTTGCTGCCATCGAATTCAAAATACCGTCTTACAAATGGTCCAATTACTCAGTTTGAGCATTTGATGTTTTCTGCGTTCTATTGTGAGTAAAATGCGGTTTATAAGATTTGCAAATTGTTTTTTAAATTTATTTACGCTTTAAAAAAAAAGAAAAAAGGGTTCACATTAATATGAATCATTTTGAATAATTATTCTCTTATATATTTAACTTGTCCGAGATCCTTTTATTATATTTGGCGTGCACTTTGCAAGTTTCTAAAATGTAAATGGAAAAACTTGCTGTCACTGCGTGTTGTTTTTCAGCAGCACTTTTTAAATGCTGACCTTTGTATTAAATTTAAATTGTCATAAAAAATAACCCAACAACACAAACTACACTATGATTCTAAAAC